CTGCTTCCTGCATCCGCCTGTGGCTGGCAGGCGTGTGGGAAATGAGAAGAACCTGCCCATCTCTCTTTGCTGGGGGGGGACAAGGAGCTCTCACCTTCTCCCCACTCCCTGAGGCCTCCTGGCTGCTCTGAGCAGGGTGCGGGGAGGATTCTGCTTCTCTGTCCCTCCTCCCCCATGAGTAGCGGGATTGTGGCTGGGGCAGCAGGCGCTGAGTGGGGGACTCTTGTTGTTTCAGATGCCGGTGACCTTCGAGGATGTGGCTGTGTATTTCACCCAGGGGCAGGGGGCTCTGCTGGACCCCAGTCAGAGAGCCCTCTACAGGGATGTCATGTGGGAGAACTACGAGACGGTGACCTCGCTGGGTAAGGGATTCCTGGCCCCTTGGTTATTTGAAGCTGGGGGAGTCTCTGTGTCTCACACCGGTCAGGTTCTTCCCTCATCACTCTCCAATGAGACCAGGGTGTCAAAACCTAAGGCACATACTAAATCATCCCCACCCAACCCCCCTAGTTTGCGAGGTGGGGAAGCCGTGTATTGTCCTGTCTGTGCTGTTTCTCGGTCGCTCACAGAATCCCTCTTCTCCCTCTTCCTTGGGAACAGCTCCAGCCATGTGGAGGGCTCTGAGCTCCACAGGTTTAGAAATAGGCAGGGGTTTAACACTAGAGCTGGGTGTGCATCACAATTCCCCTCACATCCCCAAATGTCTGCCTCCCCCGAGGGGGCTCAGTGACCATGTTCCCGTCCTCTTAGATTCCACATTCCCCAGCACAGCACAGGGACAGGTTCCGCTCACGGAATGTCCTTTCTGAGAGACGCTCTCTCAGTCCTCCACACACCCTGATCTGGTCTGATGTCTCCCCCTGCACAGGATTCCCCCTTCCCAAACCAGACCTGATCACCCGGCTGGAACAAGGGGAAGAGCCGTGGGTGCCCAATCTCCAGGCCTGTGAGAAAAGAGAGATCCCGAGAGGCGCCCACACAGGTGAGGACTGACACACAAACCATCTGGGGAATGAAGAAAAAAGGTGAGAATCCCAAAAATGAGGGATCAATAAGTGCCCTTAGTTCCTTCCTCATCTCACCCAGGGCAGGGCTGCAGGCAGCAGATATCACTGACATCACTTTCCACGTGTCCTGTTACCTGCAGGAGTTTCCTTCTGAACTTTCCTTCTCTGTGAACGTTTGGTTGGGAAGTGGAGGCAGAATCCAATTGCTCTGTCTGTGCAGCTTTAGTATGTTGGGTTTTCCCTTGCTGCTATTCCTCTTAATTTCTCCCCAGCACAAGACTCCTGTCTGGATTCTCTATCTCCCAGCAGGTGACGAGAGAGTGAGTGAGAACAAGGAGGGGAATCAACAGAAGGAAGTTCCTGGGCACGGGGAATTAAAGGGGACCTCCATGGGAAGACCCCATAAGTGCTTAGACTGTGGAAAAAGGTTCATACGGAGATCACACCTTCTTTTACATCAGCGAATCCACACAGGGGAGAGACCCCACAAGTGCTTAATCTGTGGGAAAAGTTTCATACAGAGGTCAACCCTACTTAATCATCAGGCAATCCACACTGGAGAGAGACCTCATAAGTGCTCAGACTGTGGAAAAAGTTTCACACAAAGATCAAATCTTATGGCACATCAGGCAATCCACACAAGAGAGAGACCCCACAAGTGCTTAGACTGTGGAAAAAGTTTCATACAGAGGTCACACCTTGTTGTACATCAGGCAATCCACACAAGAGAAAGACCCCACAAGTGCTTAGACTGTGGAAAAAGTTTCATACAGAGGTCACACCTTGTTGTACATCAGGCAATCCACACAAGAGAGAGACCCCACAAGTGCTTAGACTGTGGAAAAAGTTTCATACGGAGATCACACCTTGTTTTACATCAGCGAATCCACACAGGAGAGAGACCCCAAAAGTGCTTAATCTGTGGGAAAGGTTTCATACAGAGGTCAGACCTTGTTAAACATGAAGCAGTCCACACTGGAAAGAGACCCCATAAGTGCTTAGACTGTGGAAAAAGTTTCATACAAAGGTCAACCCTACTTAATCATCAGGCAATCCACACTGGAGAGAGACCTCATAAGTGCTTAGACTGTGGAAAAAGTTTCATAGAGAGGTCAACCCTATTTAATTATCAGGCAATCCACACTGGAGAGAGACCGCATAAGTGCTTAGACTGTAGAAAAAGTTTCATACAAAGGTCAACCCTACTTAATCATCAGGCAATCCACACTGGAGAGAGACCGCATAAGTGCTTAGACTGTAGAAAAAGTTTCATAGAGAGGTTAACCCTACTTAATCATCAGGCAATCCACACTGGAGAGAGACCCCACAAGTGCTTAGACTGTGGAAAAGGTTTCATAAAGAGGTCACACCTTGTTGTACATCAGGCAATCCACACAAGAGAGAGACCCCATAAGTGCTTAGACTGTGGAAAAAGTTTCATACAGAGGTCACACCTTGTTGTACATCAGGCAATCCACACAGGAGAGAGACCCCACAAGTGCTTAGACTGTGGAAAAAGTTTCATACAGAGGACACACCTTGTTGTACATCAGGCAATCCACACTGGAGAGAGACCCCATAAGTGCTTAGACTGTGGGAAAAGTTTCATACGGAGGTCAGCCCTACTTAATCATCAGGCAATCCACACTGGTGAGAGACCCCATAAGTGCTTAATGTGTGGGAAAAGTTTCAAACAGAGGTCAGATCTTCTTATACATCAAGCAGTGCACACTGGAGAGAGACCTCATAAGTGCTTAGACTGTGGAAAAAGTTTCATACGGAGATCAACCCTACTTAATCATCAGGCAATCCACACTGGTGAGAGACCTCATAAGTGCTTAATGTGTGGGAAAAGTTTCATACGGAGGTCAACCCTACTTAATCATCAGGCAATCCACACAGGAGAGAGACCCCACAAGTGCTTAGACTGTGGAAAAAGTTTCATACAGAGGACACACCTTGTTGTACATCAGGCAATCCACACTGGAAAGAGACCCCATAAGTGCTTAGACTGTGGAAAAAGTTTCACACAGAAGTCACACCTTGTTAGACATCAGGCAATCCATACAAGAGAGAGACAATAAGACAATAAAACTCTGGGAAAGGTTTCAGAAACAGATCAGCCCTTCTAAACATGAGGCAATCCACACACAGGAGAGAGACCCCACAAGTGCTTGGACTGTGGGAAAAGTTTCATAAGAAGGTCAGACCTTGTTAAACATCAGGCATTACACACAGGAGAAAGACCCCACAAGTGCTTGGACTGTGGGAAAAGTTTCATAAAAAGGTCACACCTAGTTCGCCATCAGGCATTACACACAGGAGAGAGACCCCACAGCTGCTTAGACTGTTGGAAAAGTTTTTTACAAAGATCAAACCTTGTTCAACATCAGGCAATCCACACAGGAGAGAGACCCCACAAGTGCTTAGACTGTGGAAAAAGTTTCATACGGAGGTCGACCCTACTTGATCATCAGGCAATCCACACTGGAGAGAGACCCCATAAGTGCTTAATCTGTGGGAAAATGTTCATATGGAGGTTAGACCTTGTTAAACATCAAGCAATCCACACAGGAGAGAAATCCCATAAATGTTTGGACTGTGGGAAAAGATTCACACAAAGATCAAATCTTATGGCACATCAGGCAATCCACACAGGAGAGAGACCCCACAAGTGGTTAGACTGTGGAAAAGGTTTCAAACAGAGGTCAAACCTTCTTAAACATCAGGCAATCCACACCGGAGAGAGACCCCATCAGTGTTTAGACTGTGGAAAAAGTTTCATTTACAGGTCACACCTTGTTGAACATCAGCTAATCCACACAGGAAAGAGATCCCATAAGTGCTTAGGCTGTAGTGAAAGTTTCATATAGAGCTCAGCCCATGTTTTACATCAGAGAATCCACACAGGATACCCCATAAGTGCTTGGACTATGGAGAATGTTTCATACTGTGGTCAAGGCTCCTTAATTATCAGGCAATCCACAAAAGAGGGAGACTCCATAAGTGCTTGGACCGTGGGAAAGGTTTCAGAAACACCTCAGCCCTTCAGAACATCAGCCAATCCACACAGGAGAGAGTTCCCATAACTGCTTAGACTGTGAGAAAAGTTTCATACAGCGGTCAGACCTTGTTAAACATCAGGCTATCCACACTGAAGAGAGACCCCATGAGTGCTTAGATTGTGGGAAACATTTCAGAAACTGATCAGTCCTTGTTTTACATCAGAGAATCCAGAAGACTCCATAAGTGCTTGGACTGAGCAAAAGTTGTACACAGAGATCACACCTCATTAAACATTGGCGAATTCACACATGATCTAAACTTCTGTGGCACCTGGCCCGAAAGAGTTAAGAACCTTGCAGGCTAATTGACCCACCTTCAACCTTTAGAGACATGTTAGAAAAGTGTGTAAATGGTATTTGGGGCCATTCCAATTAATATAGACTAGAACTTTGAAATGTAACCTGGTATTGTTAAGAAATTGGAAGAAGATAGTAGTGCTGTTGATTAATTGCAGTTAACTTGCGTGATTAACTAAAAAAAAAATCATCGTGGTTAGAAAAATTAATCTTGATGAATCACATTGTTAAACAATAGAATA